TTAAATTACTCATTTGGGTGTACAATTGATTATATGAAATAACAATTACTAAACTGGGGTATGAATACATTTTAGTATCCATATTTTTAATACTTAAACTTAAGTCAATAAAAATATAATACTAGTTAAAATTCAAACTGATTATTTTAATTTCATAGGTCACATCACATTTTGATAAAAAAGCATGTCCAAACTAAATTTAAAAAAAAAAAACTAATATATTTAACAATTTTGACTGTTATTGAATCTAAATACTAAATATATTTAGTTTTTGTTTAAACTCTTAAAATGACCATAAACATTATATCACGTACATGGTCATAACAGTGGTGGCCAGCCCATATACAAGATATAGTACCACTATACCTTTAAACAATTTTTAGAAGGTGGGTGTCTATGTTTAAGTAAATTTAATTTAAAACTGATTTTAATTAATGGATGTTTTGGTTTTAACATTTATACTAACTGGTACAATGAGGAGGTAGACCAGAGCTAATTACTTGGTGTAGAAGTCGCTACACATTGAAAATAAGGAGAGAAGAATATTCAAAGAAAAATATTTAATTTATTTTGCTAGGTAAAACTGTCTTGCTATGCCTTTGACATCATTGAATATGAACATCAGTCGATATAAGTATTAAAATAAAAAAATTACTAATGAACCCATAAAATGTAAATTATAATACACCTRGTTTGTTAACTATTATTTTATTTTTATAAACAAATATGTTTAAAATGTTAAATTAATTTTATGATAATTTAAAAAAWTTTATCACTCATATAGGATGGAAAATTTTAGAAAAAAAATATAAAACAAAATAATACAAATAATAAGTTGCTCTTTTTTTGATAAGCATTAAATGTGCTTGCTGTTCTACTTTTTACCCATATTTTTCAATTATTTAATCATAGTCTTAAATTAGGACGAGTTCTACATATTGCAATATTTAATTATTTTAATCTATAATTTAATAATTTATATTTTCAAACCCCAACCAAATACTTACCAAAATAACATTTCGATAAAATTTATATAAATCAGAAAGTACCTAATGGAATATTATGTTGTTATGTAGTTATTAAAGTTATATTACCTACAAACATTGTTTAGGAGTGTAACATAACTATCAAAAGTATATATCCATGTAAACAGTGCATATACAGTATGCTAATATTAATTTCATACATAAATTTACTCAATTTACTGCTTATTTTTTTTTATCAAGTTATAAAATATCACATTTGTTTTGAAAAGAAAATTAGAATCTCTTATGTTAATTATAAAACAGGTTAAGCCATAAAAATAAGTGTGAATATTAAGATAAAATTTGAACTAACAAAATGGAAAGAAAATCATAATTTAAAAATAATAAAATAGACACAAATTTTCTAAAATGTCCTAAAAATGCTGATATCTTTGAAATAAACATTGGAAAAGTAATAACTGATGTCGGTTTTCCACTAAATTCAAGTGGACAAAATGAGCATTAATTTAATTAAATTTAAATTAATTCAGCCAATGATAAATTAATTATATCACCTACAAAATTGGTTACTTGACTAATAAGGCGCATCGCACATGAATATTTTATATCACTGATAATAACAATTAATAATTTTTTGACTAATTGAATATKCATTTAAGTTAATATCACTTTTTTTTAAACACAAATGAAAAATCACATAAGTGCTATACAATTATAAATAAATACCCAAAATAAAATTTGGACATTTATTTACAATGACTTGATTTTGAATCAGTCATACCAGATTTTGATATTTCAGCAGCATCTCTAGATTGATAAAAAAGTATATAACCAGTTTCTGATGATTTCTGTAAATCTGACGTGAGACCATAGAAATCTTCAATAGCAGATTGATCAATTTTCTATTAAAAAGAAAACTTGATATAAGTTTAAATTTTGCAATAATTTTAAAATAAAATAATTAAAATCTTACATCAACCATATCATCATCAAACAGAAGCCAAAAATCATGGCTTTTAACTATGCTAATGTAATGACCTCTATTTGGACCACTGCCACAATGTATAACTACAGCTACAAGATTGTACATTCTATCTGGATTAACAGCGTCATCAGACTGTAAAATTGTTGTTATTATTATTTAATGTTAACAATATTATTATGATAGTAATATGCATAATAAGTCCATAAAAAAATCATTACCGTATTAAATAATCTAAGTTCTAAAGGAAAAACAACTCTATGAGATACTTTAATATGCCTATTAAATTGTTCCATGTATTTGAATCTTTTCAAATGCAATGCCAATATCATAGGTAATTTTTTGACCCGCATACATTTCTAAAATATCCATAATATATAACATATATTAGATATTAAAAAAATAAATTATTACCTGGGCTTCTTGATAGCTACAGCAATTGTCACACTTAAATTTATTATCACTACAAAGCATTTCTGTATTGCTAAAACAACGTAAACAATGTGTTATACTAGTATTTTGATCTATATCTACTTGGAGGTCAAAAAAGTCTTCATCTTTACTGCTGACCTAAAATAAATAGGTATTTATGTTTTAGTTTAAATTAATAAAATTGTAATACACTTACTTCTTCACAGTTTAAACATCTAGTTTCACTCGTTAGTATTCCTTGAAATATTTCATGTACCCAAGTTGGATCTTGATTTTGACTACTTGAGCTAGTGATGCTGCTAGAAGTTGATTCTCCATCAGCAATATTAGGTGTAATTGATTTAGATTTACCATTACAATTTGCTTGGTTACGTTCAGCTTTATACATAATTTATAAATAATTTTTATAATTTTTTTACATTCTAGATGGATGAATAATTTATTTTACTTACAAAGAATAATTTCATTAATATGATTAATAAGGAAATTTAAAAATTCATGAGCATCTTGTTGCATATAGTTATTGAATTCTTCTGTAAATTAAAAAAAAAATCAAGMATAATTAAGTACACTGAAAAAATTGAATTACAATAATTCATAGATTAAAATATTAAAAATATTGATTTAAACTTCAAATTCAAGAAGTAAAAATATTAAATATTTATTTACAAGGGTTGATTTTTTTATAATTAAAAATTACTTCATGTTGGTGTAAAAATGAATTATTAACTTGATTTAGAATATATAGAAAATAAAATGTGCTATATTACCTTTTTCTTTTCTAAGTCTATTTATAAATTTTTTTGGGGCAATAGATCCAACTTTTTTTTTTTGAGTTGCAATACTATGAAATAGATCAGCTAAACATGTAAGCAATGTTTCTTTATTTCTCTTATTGCGAGCTTTGTATTCTAATACTTTGTCTCGAAAAGGTTTACAAAAATAAAGAGCTTGAAGAACTGAATTACTGTAGCATGTATTTCCAAACTGAAAAAAATAATAAAATATGTTTATTAAAAATGTATTATTTTAAAAAGTTAAAATTAAATTGTTTAAAAATTAATTTTAAATACATAAAAACCATTTTAAATTATTTAAACTTTATATAGTTTTAATATTTAAGTTGGGTTTAAATATAACCTAATTTATATCATAAAATATCATGGGATTAAAATTAACTTTACAATAGGCAAAATTAAAAAATAAATAAATATTTTATGTTGTATACACAGGTTTCAGATAATAAATAATGAAGCACTGAAAAGATTAAAATAATATATATATATATACAGTGTGTTCACCGATTTAGGGAACACTGAATTTCTCGGCCGGATTTGTTTGTAATAAATCGATTTTTTTTCACAATTTGGTGGTATATGAATACACATTTTTCAATACATTTCAAAATTTTTTGAGAATTCGGTCTGCGTATGCGTAGTAAAAACTTTTTTTTTTAAATAGCAACACCAWTTTTATTAAATAATACATTTTTWAAATTATTTTTAAACATTTATAATTAATTCTTATTGGTTACGTTTTGAATATTTGTACAATTTTTTTTTTTAGAAATGTTATAAACAAGACTAAAATAATATGGATTCAAAATTTCTTATTAAAAATCGACTAGGTACAACGGGTACAAGTGAACAATAGTTATTTTATAATTACACAATTAATTAAATAAATTGTTCAAAGTTTGCTCTCTATTTTCAGCATGACGGAGCTCCTGCTTAAAATGCTCATATTATTAGAGATAATTTAAATCGGGCATATGAGGGAAAATGGTTTGGCACTTATGGCCCCATTGAATCGCCAGCAAGATCTCCAGACATTACTCCACTCAATTTTTTTCATTTTAAAACAATAGTCTACGCAGACCCACCAGTAAATCTAGCAGATTTAAAAAATAAAATCGTGGTTGCGTATAATAACCAAATAATGTCAGCAACCAATAGAGGATATCTACAGCGTTTTAAATTATGCTTTGACAATCACGGAGCAAACTTTGAACAATTTATTTAATTTATTGTGTAATTATAAAATAACTATTATTCCYTTGTACCAGTTGTACCTATAGTCGATTTCTAATAAATAATTTTGTATCCATATTATGTTAGTCTTGTTTATAACATTTCTAAAAAAAAATTCCTACAAATATTCAAAAAGTAACCAATAAGAATTAATTATAAATGTTTAAAAATAATTTTAAAAATGTATTATTTAATAAAATTGACATGGCTCTTATTCTGTCAAAATTACTTCAAAAAAATAGGCCCATCCGAATATGGTGTTAAAAATAGGTGTTGATATTTAAAAAAAAGTTTTTATTGCGCACACGCAGACCAAATTCTCAAAATTTTTTGAAATGTATCGAAAAATGATTATTCATATACTACCAGTTTGTAAAAAAAAATCAATTTATTCCAAACAAATCTGGCCGAGAAATTCAGTGTTCCCTAAATCGGTGAACACGCTGTATATATATATATATATATATATACGTTAATCCTCATAACTTGTTATTTGTTTAACTAAAATTAAAGTTTAATGTAAATCCAGAATAATTTATTTAGCAGCTGCCTGAAGTTAAAGTTTTTGATGAATTTTGTCAACATTTGGAAAATATACAATGTTTTTAGATGTAAGAAATTCATGAAAAGTTGATATTTAARACTCAAAAATTCAATAGAGATTCCACGTGAGTTTTTTCTAATGCAAACTGAYTTTAATTTGTAATGAGTATTTGAAAATCAAATTTCTAGAATATTAGATATTTACCTGTAAAATAACTATTTCCCCTCAAATAATTTTTGACATTTGTTGTAATTCAAAAATAAATAAAGAAAATATTTGAAATGTTGACTAAATATTTAAATTACCACTATTTAGCAACGATATAATTTTAAAAAGATGTTAACTATATTTGAGCTATTTATAAATTTGACACTTTTTTCCTTCTAATAATGTCTATAAAATATTTACTCTGTCAAAATGTTTGGAAATGTAGTACAWTTTTTTTAAATAAACAATTGAAATTTAAATTTGGACAAAATTACATATTTAAAAAGAATGACAATGTAAGTTAATTTATTTTAATTCAAGAACATTATTTGTGACTTAAAAATTTTTAAGTGTATCAAAAATTTTATTTTACGCAACAACATTTCCACAAGGTTTAAATTTATTTTAAGCTATTACCAATTAATACCACAAAACTTTAAAACAGCATGAAGATAGTATTTTTAGGCAAGGCAGAATTTAGTCAAAAGTAACAATAATATAATGTGATATACAATATTATAAATTATAATATTGTATATAATAATTWWWWAATTATTATATATATTAATAATAATTATAATTTATAATAATTCAATATCTTGTAGAAAACAAAAATATACACATCCAGTTTGTATGGATTCCGGGCCACATAGGCATTCCAGGAAATGAAATGGCTGACCAAGAAGCCCATAATGCAATTACCTCCACATTAACTGCAACCATAAATTCCATCACATTCGTAAATGCAAAGAACRAAATTAAACTACACTCAAACAACAAATGGCACTCTCACTGGCAAAAACTCAATAAAATAAAAAACAATATAAACCCATGGAAAAATTCTGAACTCAGTAGAAAAGAAGAAACCATAATAAACCACCTCCAAATTGGACACACACACCTAACACACAGCTACTTGATGAGCAAAGACAATCCTCCACTATGCTAATCATGCAATGTACTTTTAACGGTCAATCACATCATTACAGAATGTCAAAAATATAACCAGTATCGAAATCAATACCACATCTCAGAACAAATTTGTTAAGCACTAGGACCAAACTCACAGGACGTTAAAAGTTAATTTTATTCTTAAAAAAAAACAGAATTGTACAATTTAATTTGATGTAATCATGTAAATACTAAAATACTAACAATGTAATCAAAAAAATTTGTGTACTAATGGCATAGTTGTCGATGTATATTTCAGATCAATAAAAATAAATAAATAAATAATTCTATATTAATTCTATAATATATTTAGTTTCCTGCAAAAATTAAATCAAGTAATGTAATACTACTAATAAAATATATTTTAATAGAAATATCAAAAAACATGATACGAAAATACTTGAAATAGGCATCCATCCATTAGTGAGGATAAAAATATTTTATAAAAAAAATTTTGAATTATTTAACAAAGATAAAATCTTACATTAACTAAACCAAAATAATGCTCATTTGGAGGAAACTGATCTGATCCAATATCTCTTTCTAGTTGTGACACATTACCACCCTAAAACACAAAATAAAATATTAGAAATTCAAAAATTAGTTAATTTAACTACAAAACATCCTAATTATATAATTTGTGTCTTAAAAATTCACTAATTTTGTAAATATAATGGGCTATATGGGTTGTAAATACGCAAATTTTGAAGAAAAAAAGTACAAAAAGGTACCTACTAGGTTGATCTAAAATTATAGAATCTTGATGACAAATTAATACACATTTAAATAATGTAGTTTGATTGATATATAATTTAACTCCACTACAAAATTAGTTGATTAAAAATATGATTATAAATATAAAAATAGTTACAACTTACACTAACTATTAAATTATTAAAAAATATAGCTATTCCTCAATATACGAATATACYTAGAATAGTGTAAACTTGTTTCCAAAATGGAAGTTAATTTAAGGTTTAATTTTTTTTAAATAAGTAGATGGTTTTAAATTTTAATGTAGGTATACATTTAAATGTAAATAATTATTTGTATCAATTAAAATAAAGATTTTGTTTGAAGAACTTGATTGAAATAATTTATAAAAATATTCAGATAGTGCTTTAGTACTTTTCAAAGTACTTGAATGAAATAATAAGATAAAATATTGAACGCAAAATATATTACCATATTACAAGACAACAGCTAATCAAGTCATCACTGAAAAATGAATTTTAGCACTTCTTCGAAAATCGAATATGTGTATGTTCATACATTTTACATTTCACTGAATATGAATCAGTAGTGTTTGAGAGAGAATTCGACTTCATTCAGAATGTAAGAACCGAAACGGTTCGATGTTATAAATGTATTAATTTGAGTGTATTTGCTCTTGACTGTCATAGTTTGTAGACACTAGACAGTGTAGTGTGTCTTATCGAATATTGACTATCGACTTATCGGTTATCGCTGTTAATCAAMAAMACGATTTAAGATTATACACTATACCATATAGAACAACTACAGACTATACAGAATGAACATCGGCGTATGATATGCATTAGCATTTTTTAGACCATCAAACCACAGAACAAACCGAGTCTCCAAATCAACTGTGAACTACAACTGACTGACGCCATCTAGCATTAAACCGATATATAGAAAAGTTTATCTATCTGTATATTGTGCACGATTTAAGATATATCTTAAATCGTGATATTGTGGAACATCGGTATCGGTATACGGCATAGAGTAATATTACTCTATGGTATATTATATTATATAATATTATATATTACTCTATGTCTATGGTATACGGCCGTTGCAATGGTACGTTTTGGATTATTGAGTTTTCAGCTAAATGCCACCAGATAGCGCCAGTCAGTAATTCCATAGCTGATTTAGAGACTAATATAATATATTAATTATTTAGTTTGACGGTCTTGAAAAATGCATAATATCACTGAATCGATGTTTAACCAGTAAGTTGAGCATGATGCAGCTGCAGCTGAGCTGTGATTCGTGATCGTGATCAACTTACTACTACCAAGTAAAAAGATAAAATGCCGACAACAGAAAGATTTATGCAGTGTGACAAATGAGATTTTGGAAGGCGACGATGACATAGAATTGCCGGTAGTTACAGTGGTACCACAACCACACTCTACACGGAGTAATAATATATTTACGGATTTATTATCATATACTAGCCCTCCGTGCTATAGTAAGTTATCATAATATATAACATTAAATGATACTCGAAGGTGCCGTCACCGGCGCTGATGTACGAGGGATATAATCCATTAATGCGTTTAGTTTTTGCCGCGTTTAGTTGAATATCCTCGTCCGTCTTGAGAGCTTGTACTTTAGTGTATAACTTGTGTTTTCTTTCGTTCGCGTGATATATGYGAGCTCCACAAATGTTGTTTAAACTATTCAAATTATCATTTATATATTATTAATATTGTGTTTTTCGTTTGAGATTCCGAATTAAATTTCATTCCGTTCGTGGATTAACCATTTTCAGAAGTTCATATTACATTCATCCATAGCTTATGGAGTATTGGAGTATGGAGATAGACCATATTGGTAGAACCGACTGAAAGTATGTGAGCTATTGAGCATAAGTTAATACTTTATATTATATTATAATTATAATTATTATTAGTTATGAAAAATTAATATTATTAGGTATGTTAATTTTTAAATAAGAGAATTCAGGGAGAATCAATAAGCACCTATAATTTACCTTACATCCTTACAGTCTACAAATAACAACAATTTGTTATTTTTTTTTTGTTAATTTTAAATTAATTGTTGATGTTATTAAAAATGACATATTAAAAAATATGTTCTTATAGAGTTAATTAAAGCCTGAAATATTTAACAAACGTTTAAAAAACTATAATAATGAGATGTATTACCGGGTATACTCAAATATAGATTTGTAAAATCGTATTTATGTATTAATATACTATTATAGTATAATAATTAATTATCCTAAATGAAACAGCCATGCAGGGTATAATAGTATATTATTATTAATATTGTGAATCATCACATTTAAATGTCTATAATAATTGATTTAGAATAAGTTACCTATACTTAACACAATATTATAGAAATAACAAAATAGTGACGATGTGTTAAACATTTRAATGTATCATTTTACTTGACTAAAGCTATTTTATAATTTATTATTGTATTACATTATTTACTATGACTGTCATTTTTCTACTTTCTGAACTCTAGGAATTAAAACGGAACTTTAAACAAACAAACATTATATTTGCAAGAAATAACAATCAAGAACTCGTATAGTCGTATATATACCAAAATCCTATTCATAGTGTGAATATCACACCGTTATTGGTGCATAGGTATTCTGAGAACTCATATTGACTTACCTATAATATACCTATTTATTTAATTGCAACATTATAAGCAAAATCCCATAGTTATTAATTTATTATAATACATTAAACTAATCATTTAAGGGACTGAAGTACCGGAGTTAAATAGTGTGTTACATGTTAATCTTTGGTTATAAAACAGCTCAACTTCAAAACTTTCGTTGTTACACATAATATGCTATACTACTTGCTTACGCTTTACAGTTTTATACTAACTAAAATACCTATCTATTAATAAATTGATAATATTTATATAATAATGCCATCAATTAATATTGTTTTAATAATTATTATAGATTCACCCATCACGGGATGCAAGGGGGTGACATGTCTCCCATCCCCCTAAAAAAAATATTGCAATCTTTTTAGTTTTGAATACTAAATTAATTTTACTAATGATAATACTTATATATGATGTACACATAGGTTTTTATCGTAATACTATGTCGAYCAATCAGCTGCAAAAATATATGTTTATATGGTATGGAGTATAGTATATGGATGTAATATATTTGTTTCATTATTTAATAAAATAAATTTGATTGATTCTTAGTTTTCAAATTACATCAGAACCTCATTAATCCAAATTTGTTGGGTTTTTATAGGTTGTCCGAAATAATGAAAGTCCTGATTAAACAAAATGACCAAGAATCGTAAATTATAAATTAAAAAAAAAAATATTGGATATTTTACTATGCTTACAATACTTTAGTCTATATCTAATACATAAATCTAACAATATTAAACCTAAACAATAGAACATAATTGTACTAATCATTACATATATATAATATAGTATGTATTAAAGCACACCTTCATTTACGTATTATAAACGGCTTTTCGGATTAAGGGAAGTCCGGATTAATGAGGTTTTAGTGGTTTTACTGTATTTATTTTATGATTATCCCCTCCTAGGTTTTGACAGGTGGGCGCCCTTATATAGATTCCGATCTAAAGCTCTTCGTAAAATTTTTAAAGTGTCATTTTATTTCTCAAACTACCCTCTTCACTCTGATCTTAAATTACCACGTATTTCTAAACTATCCAAAACTCAAAATAAACGTTTTAATAGTCGCTTAGCTCATCATATAAATCCCGTTCTCTCCGATATCTCCTCTGTCACTATTCCAGGTAACCAAATTAAAATACTCAAAAGACAGTTGAGTCGTGACCTGTTGGAGTAACTGTACCTAGTTATTATCATGTCATAGTATCTCCACTAGGAGGCCTCTACAGTCTATCTAATCTGTAATTTTATTTTTATTTTATTAATTATTCCATCAATTATTTGTATTGTTCTATACTGAAWCAGATAGTATAAACTCTTATGTAACAAAAATAAAAATAAATATTATATACATGTGTGATTTTATTTTGGGCAAAAATTATTTCAACTACCAATGACATTTTTACGAGGGACTCGAGGGAGGGGTCCAAGGGGCCCCACTCCGCCTCTTACCATTATCCCATAACGATATTTTTTTTTTTTTATTAGATAATAAAAAATGATTATAAATGTTATTTAAAGCTTTGATTTGATAAAATTATGTGGACCTTCCATAAAAAATTCCTAAATATGCCACTGAAATTATCGTATATCTACTTATCTACTTATATATATATATATATATATATTTATGAAAAGTAATACATTATAAAATATTATGATGATTTTTATCATGAAAAAAAATTAGTAATTTAATAGTCTACATTATAATTATAGAAATACAATTAAAGATTGTAGACTGTTGAAAATTACGAACTAATAAGTCTCCCTATACTGTAATTAATTATTAATAACCCATCGGCTATCTTTAATTTCAAGATAAGAGTAAATGTATGTTCTAAATCCATAAAGTGGCTAAACATATTATATAATTATTAAATTAATAAAAAATATTATTTATTTCAATCAATATAATTTATAGCAATATAATATATATTAGGTATATAAAAATCAAATAATTTTTATGCAATATAATAATACAAATATAGACACAATTGGAAATTTAGTATAGGACGTTATAAAAGTTAATTATTTACTATTTTTTAAGTCCTACGTTGTGTTCTTGTATAGGTTTATCCCTAAAAAAATATGTATTCATTAATGATTAATTTAATAGTGTTTACGTGTAATTCTCATTATATATACCAGTTGTAAATTTTAAACATCTGAATGGTGCAAACAATGCATTCGTTTGAAAACTGAAATAATGTTTTAGTGACAAAGATAGAAGTTTATTATTGATTATTATGATGGAAGAGGAGTATGAACACTGAACGTTGTCTATGATACATGAATAATTAGATTATGCTTATACCACAGAAACTGTTTCAGTCTTCAGATGAAAGTTAATTTTGTTTTGACTACAATTTGTATATTTGTATACTGGGTATAATGCCGGATGTTTAGAGCCAGGACGACTATTTATCCCGCTTTTAAAGTTAAAATAATTTATTATTAAGGATACAATAAACATAGAAAAKTATATAGAAACTAATAAACACTATATAGCTRATTAACTCAATTGTAAGTCTATAGTTATCTACTAGTTCAATATTTTGATGTATTGAAAAAATCGAAAAAATATTCTGCCGTAGTATATGAAATTTAAAGTATGTATCATTCAAAAAGGTTAAAAATTTCAAAATTATAACGATATAAATTATGAACAATCGTTAAAAAAATATTTATTYATATTTTTATAATTTTATGTTAATATTACATCAAAAAATAACGTTGAAAGCAAATTCTCAAAAAAGCTAAAACTTTTCGAAATAATAATGAGTATCTACTTAAATGTATTACTTACTATAAATTAAATTATATTCTATTTGATTTCAATTACTAGTTTTAGACTTTCCAGAAATTCCTTTAATTATTTCATGTATTTATGGCCATATTTCTTAGTAGTATTTTCTATAGAAAGTAAGAGAAAATAAAATGGTTAAGAAGTAAGTGTCAATTAAGTTAGTATAATAACTAAAACCCGACGTAGATACGATACAGTGTTTTAAATAATACCTATAATCTATATATTGGTTATAACTTATATAAATTATAATATTCACTAATATTTTATTGTTGTAATAAATATTATTATATTTATTAAGCTTAGAGTTAAATTATGTTGTTATTATGTTATACTATTTTGAATCTATACAGAGATTCTTTTAAAGGTAAATTCGTAATTTCATCAAATCTATGAACGTTTACAAAGATTTATGTTTTTTAAATAATTTGAAGTAATTATCAAAAAACAACATTTACTAAAAATAATCATTTTTTATGGTTATAATTTTTATGTTTTTATTTTATCATATCCTGCTTTTAAGTTTTAA